CCCTTCTATGTCTGACAGGGGCATTGGGATAATTTTCTAAAGCAGGAACTCTTCTAGGGTTAGGGTTTGAAGAAGACATGATGAGGAAGAAGACGAAGTGAATAAAAATTTGCACAGTTTGAGTGTTCCAAAGAGTTTTGTGTGGAAAAATTTAAAAAGTAAAACTGTATTTATAGGTAACCGTCAAAAAGTGAAAACGCAGTAATGGAAGGGTCACAATAATGGTAACTGGTACTTCGTGAGTAGTGGAGCTGTAAAAAAGGACCTTAAAAAGGGGTGCAAGTTGCAGAATCAATAAGGAGTTGACACGTGTGAAGAACATTAAATAGATGTGACCATTGAAGCGTCAATCTTGTCACAACATTAATGATGACAAAAATTCTCTTTTTATGAAATCCACTTCCCAAATATTCATCTGATGAATAAATGGAAAGTGGGGGGACTATCTGTATTGGGAAAAATTTACTCTGCATATTGGAGATGACGTGCCATGACACGTAGACTGGTCAAATAGTCAAAAAATTAAGGTTGTTCAATAGGTACGAGCAACAACAGACACGAGCAAGTTAAACAGAAGAGACACGAGCAGTCATGTGAGACATTCAATGCTCGTACCCGTTCAAAGCATTTAGACCGCAAAGATCGTGAAGAGTCAAAGGAATGAATCTGACAGCAAATAAGAGCCCATATACAGCATTTAATGCGAGAAACGTTAGAGAATATGTATTTAATGTATATGATTACATAACGTCACATTTAAAGTTATTAACTGCCCATAATTGTCTCATTATGACAAAGGTAAAGTCTGTATTCCCAAAATGGCTATAAAAGGGAAAGTCACAAACAATTGTAAGCACGGAGAATCCTGATTTACTAGCTTTCATATCTTATTCTCAAATTTCTTTCTTTATACTCTTTTCCGATTATCAGTAACCCGTGTTCTTCTAAATTCAAGCTTTGACCTAAAATCTAATTTTTGGTTAAACAAGTGTGTAATTACACTTGTGCAACCAAACAGTAAACTTGTAATTACACTGTAATTATACTATGACAAACAAACATGTTATCGTAATTACACAACTGTGTAATTACTAAGTTGTGTAATTACTACCCTAATAATTACACAAATTCCTATTACAAGGTGGCTTTCCGAACAGACACTTTAAAAGAAAGTGCTCCTTACTAGAAATTTTTCAATTCTCGGAACACGACCAGCGATGCATGAATATTTTCATCAAGTACAAAATTTGGCATTAAACATGGAGTTTTGATGTTAATCATTTCCCGTAAAACGATATGCACATCTAATGGGATGCTTGTCTTACAAAATAATTAAATCGGGAAGCGAGCCATAAGAACCACTTAGTATATTACTTAGTCACTTCAAGAACACGTAAATATCTCCATTTATATAATCCATATGTTTTAAAAAGAATGAACCAATTATTATTGGGGAAGTTACAAAATATTTCCTTTAATTATATCCTTTTCAAATAGTTTTTAAATATTTTGAATTGTTAAATATTATGACCTATATTACTTTATATATAGTTTCTAAATATGTAAATTTTATTTCAACAACTTAAAGAACCTATATCCAAATTCACATCGAATATTAGTCAATTTTACCCTTGTACTCGAAAAGATTTAAACAAATTGAAATGTATCTGTTTAGAATGAAATTAATTATCGATCAAAGTGCCAACTCTTTATTTCAAATTCGCATTAACTGTGGAGAGGAAAAATAATTCTATTTACAATATATATTTCCTTGCAAGCGTTTGGTATAAAATTTTTGTATAGGCATTGAAAGGGCTCAGAATTTGTTGGAAACATGTGGTAGCATATTTTAATAGCTTGGAGTTGATAACCAAGAAAGGGAAAATAATTTAATCTGCATGATTGATACGTCTGACAACCATAGGGATTCCTAGATCTCTTTTGGTAGTAATGCTAATATTAAATATTTGCTTAGTGGCCATCGAAGAAGATTTCCTATTCTGCATTAATAGAGGAGAAAAGAAAGAAAACAATAAACAACTACTTACTGATATAAACTTCTGTGCTTTCTCACACAACTGGACATTGGGACCTATTGGAAACTGCAAAGAAAATCCTAATCCACGTGTGAAGATTCTATCATGGCTCAACACCTGTGTTATCTTGGTCTACCGTTGTCTCTTACACATTGGAAAATTAATATGGTCACTCTCTTAAAAACCAACATCCATAGTGCTCTAAAGATCTAAGTTAGATTTGATATGATATGACTACTCTGGCTCCAACCTAGTCTTACTGTTTTAGTCACTTAATCATCTTCTTTATGTGTAATGTTCAGTGTATCTTCATTTTTAAAGTCACAATATGACAACAATAATCCCTTAATCTTGAAAATTGTATCTACACATAATACTCTTATGTTGCTACGGTCCTCAAGTAGAATGCTTACATATGTGTACGCGGTAAAATTGGTTCACATTAAATATTTATATAATAGAGCGACACGTGGAACCGAAGACAGAAGAAAAACGAGACATGTGGAAATCAAGATCGAGGGTTGCAGTTTCGATTGGCACCGGGAAGCCGCCGAAGGGATTATTATCACCCGATAGCATTCAACGGAGAATATTCTGCAGCATTAAATGCACAATCCGTTATAGAGAATATGGCATTCATAGCCTACTGTTAAACATTCTTCAATGCCCATAATTGTCACTTAGGATGGGCTTCCTAGGACCTTGTTCCCTAGGCGCAACTATAAATTGTGACTTCAACAACCATTATAGGGTGAGGAATTTTCTGACAAACTTATGTTATATACTATTCAAAAGCTCAATAACACTTTATTTCTTGTCTGCTAGTACTTGTATTACTGCCTTCGGAAGCTCTGCTCCCCGAACCAAGCTATATGCTGTTTTATCTCGATTTTAACGCTAAGTTTTGCATTTTATTTAAATTATTTATTATTTTGGGATCAAATCGATTCGCTTGTCTATAAACCACGTTACAAATTAGATTGTACTGTTTTACGGGGTAAATAATTTGGTGCCCACTATGGGTTTAGACATTTGCGTAATTGGGTTGATCCTTGCATCTATTACTAACAATTTTAATTCTTTGTTTCTTAGCAAAAAATCACAAAAAAATAGCAGATAACGATGCCAACATCACGCACAACGTTGATGCCCAAGGAAATCAGCCTCAACACGAATATTTGATCAGCGATACCCGTAACAAGGGCAATGAGGCCATGCCGGTCCATGGCGGGCAATTCAAGAGGCAACTCCCAATGATGTTGAAGACGAGCACGTTGCAGAAATAGTAAGAATCCTGAGGGAACAACAAAATGCTATTATGGGCCATCTCTCGCGACGGGATCGGGTCATGATGGAGTTGAGGTAGGCATTGTCGGGTGCTCCCAACAATGCGAATGGAAGAGGTCCGGTTCCTCTCGCTGCTCCCACAATCCAAAAACCACAAGGAGTTGATAAAAATAACCCGAGGGGTGAGGTTGGGTTCGACATGGCCGGGGGGAACGACAGCGGATCCAGCAACAATAACAAAAATGATCCCATTAAAATCGAACTCATGCAGTTTATGAGAGAAATAAATGCCCGAATGGATTAAATCCCGGGCATACAGCCAGTGTTGAAAGGATTAGACTCAAAGAAATACACCTAGTTGCTGTTCAAACCAAGCGCGACACCCGAATTAATCCCGAAGAGGTTCAAAGTGCCAGACGTGCCAAAATATGATGGGACTTCAGATCCTCAGGAGCACATCACAACCTATATAACAGCGGTGAAAGGAAATGACTTAGCTTCAGACGAGATTAAGTCAGTTTTGTTAAAGAAGTTCGAGGAGGTCCTCACGAAAGAGGCATTGACATGGTATTCACTTTTACCCGAGCACTCAATAGATTCCTTCGAGATGCTCGTAGATTCTTTTATCAAGGCCTATGCGGGGGCTAGGAAGGTATAGGCCCAAAAGTCCGACATATTCAGAATTGTGCAAGGAGAGTCCGAATTTGCTACGGGAGTTTGCGACAAGATTTTAGAAGGAAAGGATGCTGCTACCGGCCATGCCGGACGAATAGGTAGTTGAGGCATTTACTAAAGATCTCAATCCGAGGAGTTCATACGCTTCCCAAACACTTAAAGAAAGTTTGCTCGAGTTCCAGGCAACACCATGGGTAGATGTCCACAACCGTTACGAGACAAAAATAAGGATTTAGGATGACCAGCTCGATTTCCCAGCATCAACTAAGGGTCATGGCCGATAAAAGTACAAGAAAAAGTTGAAGGATGATTTCAACGCAGATCAACGGTCTTCTAGAGGTCTTTTTTTTCCTTACAAAAGGGCCGACGGACGCGGCAGAGGTTTTCGGTCGGCGGATAGATTCGCTATCGATAGGAGAGCTAATCGTGGCCGGAGTAACAGATTGTTGCAGGATAAAGAGGTATTGGGCTCCCAGGATTCCACCTACCCCGATTGTTCGAATATAACATCAATGTCAACATAGTGGAACTAGTATCGATGATGAGGAACATTAAGGAAGCACGGTTCTCCAGGCTGATGAGGTCCGACCCCAGTCAGAGGTATCCTAATCTATGGTGCGGGTACCATGGAACCAACAGCCAACGGACTGGGGACCGCCGACATCTGCACGAAGAGGTGGCAACATTGCTGAAAAACGGTCATATTAGAGAATTCTTAAGTAGGAGAATATCCTCCTCGTCTAACGATCAACATGCTTTATTTAGGGGGGGGGGGGGGACGAGATTAATGGTTGAACTTTCTCGGCAGCGAAAAAGACAAAGGTATCGGTGACCCATAGCAAGAGACTCCGTGAAGTTGCCGAGGAAGACATCAACTTCACGGAGGAGGACGTAGATAGACTCCTACTACCGCACAACGATACCCTAGTAATTTCTCTTAATTTTTAAATTTTAAATTTAGACGTGTTTTGGTAGACCTAGGGAGTTAGCCAGTATTATCCAATGGAGAGTGCTGGAACAAGCCAAGCTAACCAGAAGCATCATTTCGTCCATAAATCTCTTGCTGGGTTCAATTTAGCAAGAGTGACAACCCGAGGAGAAATTCTGCTGCCTACGAAGGCCGAAGGGGTAATGAAGAGGACCCTTTTTGAAGTAGTAGACGGCGATATGGGCTACAGTATTATTCTTGGAAGGCAATGGCTACGCGAGATGAAGGTTGTGCCATCAACATATCATCAACTTCTAAAATTTCCAACTCCGGATGGAATTAAACAAATAAGAGGAGATCAACCGGCGGCAAGGGAGATGCACGCGATCTCAGCTTCCAGTAGAAAAGGGAAGGAGCATGCGATATAGAAATTACAAGAACCGACGCCTTCTCCCAAGCCGAACGAAGTCAACAAGGGGGAGGAGTCATCGAAATCCTATTAGATGGAAGCTCCACTTCGGGGCAAAGTAAAACCCCAAGCTCTGGTTAGGATTTATAGAATTTCTTAAATTTAACATTGACTATTTTGTGTGGTCGCATGCAGATATCATAGGTATCCCGCATAAGTTGGCCATGCACAAATTAAGCTTGGATCCTAACATCCCTCCGGTAAGGCAGAAGAAACGCCCTATTGCCGAGGTCATAAAAAAATTTGTTAAAAAAGAGGTTACTCAATTACTTGATATCTGTTTAATCCGTGAGGTAAAGTATCTTGGCTGGCTAGCTAATATAGTAGTAGTTCCAAAAAAGAATAATAAATTTCGCATGTGCGTGGATTATAAGGATCTCAATAAGGCGTGCCTGAAAGACTCGTTCCCATTACCAAAAATTGATCAAATGATTGATGCGACGGCCGGGCACGAGTTGATGAGTTTCCTTGATGCTATTCCGGGAACAATCAAATCCAAATGAACCTAGAGGATCAGGAAAAAACTTCGTTCATAACGAACTTTGGCACATATTGCTATAATGTGATGCCTTTCGGGCTTAAGAACGCCAGAGCCACTTATCAAAGGCTTGTGAATAAAATATTGGCAGAATAGCCTAAACGGCACTTCTACTTGTCCCCCTTTGTCATCCCGGTCCGGATACTCTACGAAGTTTCATCTAGGCACTCGTAATTTTCAAAATACAGTACTTTAAACTTCTCTGACCGTTGACCAAGCCTATGTGGCAACTTTATGACTGAGTTGGACAAAATTTGTGAATTTCACGTGCATAACAAGAGTAAACATAAAAAAAGTTATACTAAAAATAATTAAAATAAGAAGAAAGAAATAAAAAGAAAAGTAAAAGCAAGAGACAAAAAAAGTATAAGAAAATATAAAATATCTCTATTCTTTACTTCTTTCTTCTTTCCCCCAGCCCACCGCACCCCTCCCTATTCTTTTCTTCTTTTATCCTTCCCCTTTCCGTTCACTTCCCACCCATCTCCATTCTATTTCTTTTCTCTTCTTCTCCTTCCGTTCTCCCCTCCCCTCCCCTCCCCCACTTGCACCCCCCCTTCTGTTCTTCCCCAAAACCTGTCACGCCCCAAAAATCGAGGAGCACGACCGGCGCTCAACCGAGTAAACCCGACTGAGCAAGCCTGTTAGGTTTCATTCTACCCAAACTAATTCATGAATACATAGGAGATGGACTCCATTAATCATACTTAGTAAGTATTTCATTAACAATTTTTATTTTATTTCCATTAGCAGCTTAAATCATAATTATCAAAATATTACAAGTTTTATAAATCTTTGCCAAACATCAATATTTTTACTTTAATTCCAATATTCGGCACTACCCACAACCTGTCTACGGAGCCTCTAAACACAACTAAAGAGTAATGTAATATGGAAATACCGGTAACAAGGCTCTGGCTATACCTCAAATAGCAAGTACATGACAAACAGATGAAACATGACCCCGAAACGAAGTGGGGCTCACCAAGTCAGCTGAAAGGATGATGCGGCACTAGCGACGACCAACACTACCTGCTATAGAAACACCTACATCCATTTAAAGACTTAACGCCCCCGGCAAAAGGAACGTTAGTGCCATCGAATAACACTAGTATGTATAACTAAACACCATCTCATTAGAAAGAACAACCATACAAGAATAAAGAAATCATAAGGATCAACAAAGCTTTTAAACAATCACCACATCATCAAATACAAATAAGAGATCACATAGCTTTCACACAATTTCCATAACTTTAGTTTGGGGCATTCCATATTGTTGCATCATCGATCACAATACCACCGCTTTCTTGAGCGGAGTCCGATCACGGCCCGATCGGCTAAGCCGTCTCCCCGAGACGTTACCATTATTTCATTCACACTTTCCAGTTCCAATTATCAATACATTACCACCATGTGTGTATATCATGGCGTCCGATCACGGCTCGATCGGCTAAGCCGTCTCCCCGAGACATTACCATTATTTCATTCTCACTTTCCAGTTCCAATTATCAATACATTACCACCATGTGTGTATAACATGGCGCCCGATCACGGCCCAATCGGCTAAGCCGTCTCCCCGAGATGTTACCATTTCTTCGTTAATCATCTCACTTCATTCTTTGGTTTCACATGTATCAACTCATAGACACTTAGGGCCACAATTTTCATATTATACTTGGCGCTAGGCCACATTTCACAACTCACATTCCACATCTCTTTCACTTTCAACATAAAGCTTTCAATTTAAGATAATGGGCACATACAAGAGCAATTCAAGTTGTAAGCATAGAGATAAATTCACATGATTTGGCATAATAATCACAATTTAAACTTGACTTGAAATCTAGGAAATTTAGCATATAGTTCACATTCTTCACATATCACCAATTTATCCAGAATAGCATTTTGAGCATCTTGGGACACACTTTTCACATATATTCTTGCAACACCAATTCCTTTGAAATAACAAATACTACGTCAATCAAATTTCGGACTTGCAATTTTACATGGACACCATGGGAGCTCAATTTCCGAGAAGAGGGGGTTTTAGCCATACATACCTTGTTTAAGATTTCCTTAAGTTACTACGACGTTCCGGAAATTCTAGCAATCCCAATCTACTTTGAGATATAACAAAATTGAACACAAATTAGGAAGGTATTCATGGTTTCAGCTCATCTGAGCATTTTATCAAATACTAGTTGAGCATCTTGATTTCAAATCTCTTCTACAAGGTTTCCTTCATTCCCCAACCCAATCTTCTTATTTATGTTCAACAATCTTCCCACAAACCTAATTTGTACATGCATGTATACATAATGCTATTACACCCAAGAATCATACCTTAATAACCCATCTTATGCCCCAAACTCAAAATTAAAGTCTAATGTATAGAACCTTACCTCTTAGATGAAGAACATGTGATTGGGTTCTTTGACTCTTGAAGGCTTGAGCAAGAGATGGGTGATTATGAAGCTAGGCTCCTTCTCTCTCTATATGCTCTCAACTCTCTCTAAAATCAGTAGAAACTGACCCCAAATGAAGCCCAAAGGCTATATATAAAAATGGGGTCGGGTTATAGAAATAGGAAAAATAAGCCTCCGAAATCGGGTATGCGATCGCAGAATGGACCGCAAAACAAGAATGTGGGCCGCAGAATGCATCGCGAAATAGGTGCCCAAAATTGGGCAACACTGGCCCAATCTGCGATCGCAGAGTCAAAAATGCGACATATTTGCGATTGTAGATTCGACACAGGATCGCATTTTTCCCGCCTTTGATAATTTGATCATAACTTTGTGTAGGAATGTCCAAATGACGAACGGTTTGAAGCTTTGGAAACTAGACTCAAAGTCCTCATATGATAGGTTGTTCATCACATAAAATCTTATACATATTTAGATATGCTCGTTCAAAGTGTGGACTTGTGGAAACTCATTTGGAAGCTTAGCCTATTATGAAATTTTCCAATTTGACTTAGGCTTAGGCCTTTCCTTGGGCCCCAAATTACTTACCATAAGACTCGTACGCTTATTTACCAAGTTCAATTGATGCCCACCATGTTAATAGCACATAAAATATTATAATTAGCCTACGTGGCACCACAAAATCCTAAATTACTTAGCGAAATTTTTCGGGGCCTTACAAAACCCATCTCCCATTTCTATTTCTTTTTCTCTTTCTTCCCATTCCCGTCCCCTGCCCCCCGCCCAAACCCGCACCCCCCTGAAGATACTAACAACTGTAAACATATTTTTCCTATTTATTTTTGTGCGTTATATCATCAGCAGCAAAGTTAGTTCCTTAGAACACTACAAGACTCTTAAAATTGAATGAACACTACAAGATTTTTAATGGTGTTCTCCGTTGACCGGAGGAATTTTCCGACGATGGCAGTGGAGTTGTTGGTGGTAAGGGGAAGAGATGGTGGAGTAAGGAAAAAAATTAAGATAAAGTGAATACTTTATTTTCTTATGTGGCACTAGTAATGACGTGGTATCCTACGTGTAGGAGATTGTATTACACGCACAACAGCCTCCTGTCATAAGCGTTTATTATACACGATTTGAACGAGTGTAAGTGTTCAATTGGCAAAATGATAAGTTTGGGGACCGGCATGACAAAGTGACAGAAGTATAAGTGCCATTTAGGCTATTCTGCCTAAACTTGGAAAAATAAATAGGGAAAAGAATGGAAACTTACGTAGATGATATGCTGGTTAAGTCTTTGAAAGCAGGAGATCATCTTAAACACCTCCAAGAAACCTTTGACATCCTAAGGAAGTACTACATGAAGCCTAACCCCGAATCGTGTGCATTCAGAGTCAGCTCTGGTAAGTTCTTGGGGATCTTGGTGTCACAAAGGGGGATCAAAGTCAATCCTGATAAAATTAAAGCCATCAAGGACATAGCCGACCAGCTATCAAGTGTGAAAGTGGTTTAGAGGCTAACAGGAAGACTGAGCACTTTAAGTAGGTTCATTTCCCGGTCTTCAGAAAAGTGTCATCACTTCTTTTCACTTCTAAAAGAGAAGAACAACTTTGAATGGACTCTGGAATTCTAGCAGACTTTGAATGATTTGAAATGGTATATATCGAGCCCTCCATTAATATAGAAACCAGGGGAAGGTAAATTGTTGTTGATCTACCTAGCGATCTCCGAGGTAGCGGTAATTGCCATTTTAGTCCGTGAATATGAAGGTACGCAATCTCCTATCTATTATGTTAGTAAAATTTAAACGGGATAGGAAACTCGCTACCCATACCTTGAAAAATTAGCCTTAGCTCTCGTAGTTGCTGCTCGAAAGCTTAGGCCTTATTTTCAATGTCGCCCGATAGCCGTGGTGACAACCTTTCCCCTGCGGAATATCCTTCACGAACCTGAACTATCAGGTGGACTTTCCAAATGGGTAGTCGAAAT